TGAACAATTATAAGGGTCCATACACTCTTATATAACTATCATACTATTGTATACTAAAATCTCTGCATATATTATTTAGAGATATTAAGATCACTATTATCTTTTAGGACAATCAGATTCAACTGAACCCTAAAAAAAAAAAAAATTAAAAAATTAATAATTAACTCAAATGACAAGAATTTTATTTTTATTTTTAGTTCGAAGATAGATTAGAAATATGATCTATGCAAAGAAATCAAGTTTGAACAGTTTATTGTTTGAATATTTTAAGATAAAATTAAATTTATATTTTAGAGTTATATTCAAAATTTTTCTCTATTTTTGGACGTGGTACATAAACATTTATAAATAAAAAAAAACAGCACAGGGGGGTCGCGGCACAGTGGTGACGTGGCATAGTTGGGTCAAGTATAATGATAGTGATAAAAATCACTATCATAAAAAACGCTTCGATGCAAATCTGTAGATAATGTTTAATTCTAAGAAATTGGTGGATAATTACAAAAGNATGAGTTTTAGATTAATTGAATCAAACTAATAAAATTATATAAAAAATAAAAAGAAAGCTGTGTTAATGTAAAACATGATTATTTAAATGTAGGAAATGTATATGACATGTATAAATAATAATATATTATAAATAATCTACTCTGTATTTAATAAACATATAAAGTACTCATTGATTTTTATACTATATTAAATTATTTTTTAATTACATTACATTTTATTAACAGAATTTTTATTGTGAACCAGAATTATTTATTTGAAAAAATACTTAAAACAATTTTACATAGAAAAACTTTTTACCATTTTAAACTATATAGCGAGTTTAACTTATAAAATGCAGTATTTAAAAACAAAACTGAAAAAAAAAAAAATGTCAAAGTCTTCGATAGCTATAACATTTTTATTATAATGAAAAAAATGTTCCTACTGGCGAAACTCTGTTTCCATTATATTCCCTAGGTACTTGTATAAAGTAGTAAATTGTAAATACAACTGATACCGTATTTCTTTTTCAAAGTCTTTCTCGGTTAAGTTTATAATTATTTTTTTCGTTACACGTATTTATTAAAATTTAATTATCTTAGAAAAAATGTTGCATTTACTAAAAAAACAATTATTTAAGCCAATGCTAAAAATATATTTTTAATTAATTTGTTCACTCAAATATACTGTATCAATTAATGTTTATATTACCGTTGGAATAAAAAATGGAATTCCTGAAAAAAGATTTATTTTTGCTTTAAAAATAAAAACACAAAAAATTATTTTATTTTTATGTAATACTTTGAATGGAGATCAAAAAAATTGTTTTAGTTAATCGGTGACTATAAAATACTGAAGGATTAATATTGAGTTAAATAAATATTTTTAAACCATCTAAAGAATATTTTTGATAATAAAAAATCAATATATAAAATTATTACATTAGGAGTTATTTAGTTTTAGATAGTAATAAGAAAAGTTTTCATGAACATGGTAAGTACAATTATATATATATATATATGTCGTTAAAAATTTGTTTTATTATCTCTTATTGAGGAGGGCAGTTGTTTCATATAATCTGCCTACAGCTTATTTTTTTATCAAATATTGTTGAATAGAGTTTATAATCGGCTTATCCATTACATATTGGTTATTTTTTTTCAAATNGCTTATCCATTACATATTGGTTATTTTTTTTCAAATACAATAGAAATAAAAAGTGTTATACATTCTATTCTTTTGATGTTTAAAAATGAGACAATAAATCAAAATGAGCGCGAAAGGTGTGGATATATTCCCATGGTGATAATAATATATCCGTTAAATCGATAAATAGACAATGCCTAGCGAAATAGTAATTCCTTTCAAAAGCTTTCATATTTATAAATTTAGTAATGAATTTTACCTTTGAGTTGATAATATCGTAATAAAATCGATACAATGCATAAGGTGTTGTAAAAACATTCATGAAGTACGTGATTATGCATACTTGACGATGATTATATGGATCACTTCTAATTACTTGGTTTGAGTTAGTGGTTAAAAGCGAAAGTTTATTAAAAGTTTTTTCCTGTAGTTCATAAACAAATAAGTGCTGTGCATAATAATTTATAATTAAATGACAATGGCCGTTGAGGATGGCACGTTTTGAAATATTCTAAAATTATAGTAAACATAGAAGAGGAAAGCATAATTACATAAAACCTTTGTGTATATTATGCTATATAGTATAACAAACAAGAACCTAACATTTGATTATATTGCAAAGAGTAATAAAAATGACTGCATTATTCATCAACAAAATTATGTAGTTTATAAGTTCATAATATAATAAGACAATTTAATGATCGATCATTTTTGAAATTATAACAAAATAAAAATCATTGTTTTACTTATCTAAGTGTTGATTTATTGGCATTTTTGTTTATATGTTTTTTTAAACATGAAAAATAATAAATTTTCTATTTCTCAACAAATGGCAAAATTCTGTATCTGAAACATTATTTCAAGCCTGACGTGACGAGAATACTTGCACGAGCCTGTTTTAAGGTGTCAAATTCGCATGTGTGTATTTTTTTGTCTTCAATACTTTGATATATAAGAAAATAACCGTTTCTTAAAAGGAAAAATTTTCATTGGTATATAAAGCTTATAGAAAAAAACAAATAATTTCACGTTTCTCTGTACAAGAATCATTACCATTAAGTAGTAATCATTTTTGAAGCCAATAATGACAAAGAAGAATGTATTGAATTAAATAAAAAGTACTTGTGAACATATATTTTTATCGAGTTATTCACGACTTTTTTAGATAAATCATATTGTTGGATTTTTAGATTAACACTTATCAATATTGTACGTTTATAACATTCAACGTTGAGCATAAGAGACTAAAATCATTTTAACTCAATCTATGTACAATATCATATATATTACCATAAAAAAAAGTTTTAGAGTACACCTGATTTTAAGTAAATTATTTATCCGTTTAAAGTCCAAGTCCAGCTGTTGCCTATCTTATAACATTATTTCATCAGAACAAAAAAAGTAATTTGAATTATCTCACACAATAAAAGTAATTTATTCAAGCGGACATCCATATTAATATTAACTTTATTAAAATTGTGGTTTTACATTTTTTTTAGTTTTCATATTTTTTTTTTTTAATAGCTATAATAAATTTAATGTAAGACTTACATTTTGTTCTTTTTATCACGATGAGATGGAAGTATTAAAAAAATTAAATTGAGTAATAGTTAATCGTAAAAAATATGGCGTCATATTTCATTGTTTAGAACTATACCAACTTGTAATTCTCGCAAGTTCAGGTTATCTTTATTAAAGTATTCTAGATAAATCATTTGCCTGTTTACAGCAATAAAAATAATTAGAAATATTTTAACATTAAATTTAAGGATTAATTATTTTTTAGTTTGGAATTTTACCGTACAACAATCTAAAAGAGCTGTATGATATTTTAACTATGTACATTTAATATTTATCCCTTTATAATTATTAAACGCTCAAAAGATGATCTATTTTGTATTGAATCATACATAGTAGTGTAGCTATATTATACTACATTCGGCGATAAATCTAAGAGCCCAATGGATTAGGACAATAATAAGACAGTAACCATGATAGACGCGAACGTTTAAAAAGTGACGTTCGATGGTTCCCTGCCAACCTTACCAATCTTAACACATGTCGAGGCCTTTCAAAAACAGAATCAGGTATGTGTCGAATCGACTAAGACAGGAAGTCGAACATATGTTTATCTGTATTTTCAATACTATATGGTTATACTATGTTGTATAGAAATTCAATTGATTATGTTAAAGAACGTCGGTTTTGACAGAAAATTCAGTTTCATTACAAGAAATGCCTTTGACCTTTAAATACATATTATATCGTGATAATATTTTCATATTATGAACTAATCAATTTAAATAATCCGAATAGTTGGATATACAATTTTTCATCCGAAATTTTTTCATTTGTGAAAATTGTTATTACATATTTTCCTTTTGCTCGTCTTCTATGAGTATTGTGTTTTATTATTTCAATTTATATAAATGGAGTTATGGGTATTTTAATGTTTTAATATAACCCTTACAAACTACCGATAATCGTTGACTAATATCATACACATTAATGTTTTCATTCCTATTTTTTCCTTTTAATAAAATATATACGCTTAGCCGGTAATATAAGTGTAGTTGAAATTATTGTTTTTTTTATTTTGCAGTGTTCGTCCTTTATTATCATTGGTGAACAATAGCATAAATTTTAACTGAAAATTAAACAATGCTGCAGTATCAGGATTGTCTCAAAGCGAATAAAATAAAGTCATTTATTGTTCAAAAAGCCATCGAAAATATTTTTTTATACTATATTAAATTATTTTTTAATTACATTACATTTTATACTAATTTATACTAATTTTAATATAGGTTTTACTAAGGAATTTTTTGTATTTCTTTTTTTTTAATTTTTAACGTAACAATTTTCTTTTAGTTATTTCCTAATAAATTTTATCATTATTCTATGTTTTCCTTAACTTAGAGGGATCATTGGAAGTTTGAATATATAAGGGACTTCGGGCAAGGTAATATTACGTAAAGGATTTATTTTCCAATATATAATATAAATATAGGCCGTATAAAGACGACGCCCAACCGTTATCTTTGTAAACCTATGAAGTCATTTCATAAAGTTCATTAATGTCAAAAGATTATGCGATGTCTCATTAAATATTAAAATAGTTCATTTAAATAACGCTTTGTTAATTTAGTTTAATAATTAATTAATTATATTACACTTATATATTATAATAATTATCCAAGAGATAAATTCACCATAATCTGGATCAAGCGATGAAATTTATAGAAACTGTACAAATAAACAAACCATTTTTATGCTTTATTATAACACTAAGTCATCATAGTATAAAGGTATCTTTAGTTTTAATTTAATGTTTATTTTTTTTATGTTTTAAAATATTTAAAGTTCATAAAGTTAACGAGTAAAATTTTTATTTCATATAATTAAATAGAAAAAAAAATTTGTTTTAAAATTGTTTTTCAACTATAAAACATTGACACAATAGGTAATATTTAAATTTTCGCACCACGATGGTGATTAAATAACTATAAAAGAGTATAAAAATAACAAAAATAAATACATTTTAAAACTTTTTATAACTTATTTATAATAACTTACATAAAAACGACTATAAGCATTCAAATTTTTACTTAACTTTAAGTGGTTGATGAAAAAATTCAAATTACGAGTGGGTTTATAATAGATAAACTTTTATGTGGTTAATAATTTTTTCCTTGTAATTTAAAAATAAATTTAATTTTAAAAGTTAAATATTTTAGATATTTTACAGTGTTTGTTTTTTATGTATATAAATTACATTTTTTCTGTCATTTTAATTTCACATGTAATATTTTCACTTGTAAATAAAATTTAGAAGAGAAAAATGTACATTTCGAAGAGAAATGAGTACGATTGTTTTAAAAAATCGTCAAGTCATGAGTATTTCAGGTAATAGCTTGTAATTTTTTTAAAATTAATTATATTTTTTTTATTATGTTTGAAAAATAAAATTTTATTACACGTTAATTAGAGTTATAGTGAAATCTCAGTAGTTTATGTTTCTGTAAAAAATCCTACTATAGCTAATGTAGTTACATTTTTATCTTTCTTACTTTAAAAATTTAGTTCCAAACTACTTTTGTTTTACTTGTAAAAGTTTCAAGGCCAGAAGACTGCTAGAGAAATAATATCTCCATTTTATTTATATTACAGAATTTTTTAAGCCCACTAAATTAAATAGTTTAACTTATTTAATAACTGAAAAACCATTTTGAAAATGTCCTTTTATAGTTCTCGTAAATGTGAATTATAACAATTAATATCAAAATTTCGCCATATTTTCAGTATAAATAATATATAAATTAGAAGAGCTAACATTTATTTTTGAAATTATGATAAATAAAATATTGAATTTACTGCAGTAGAAAGATTTAAAATAAAAATAATGGATAGACATTCAAAGTTTTTGTTGGTAGCAGTAGAAAAGTCTAGAGTAAATTCATAATTTGATGAACAAATATGAGGTGTAAAGCATGTTTACATAGTTGAAATATATTTGTGTTATCAAATGAAACAAATTGTTCAGTGGCTGTACTATCTCAACTTACTTGTTGAAAAAACTCGTTACCTTCCAAAATATGTGTGTTGTTGCTTGTGGTGATCATTCATAAATAACAAAAGCTTTTTCTTACTACTCGAACTAACGTCGTGTGCCTTTGTTGTATTCTAATAAATAATTGTTTTCTTATTTTTACCGAGAGCGCACCCAAAAAACTTATCTATGACTAGGATCAATTCAAGAGTATTTATTTTGGTTTATATAATTTCTTGTAGCACTTTATGCTAGATTCGATAAAACAAAGTTTCTTACAGGGTCTAAAATGAATTCGATCTCGATCACAGGTAAAACAAGGATTTTCATCTTAGATAAAGAACGGGTACTACTATTCTTGGAAATATTTTGTTTTAAGAAATCCTCTAGTTGATGATGATGGAATTGCATACTATATTTCACAGCAGAAATATTGTATACTTAGAGTAGATATGTATACATAAAATAGATTTGACAAAATAATTTTTTAAAAATTTAACATATGAGTAAAAAGTAAAATTATTTTGATTCAATATTTGAGTATGGTTAAATAAAAAATAGGTATCTCTAAGCATTCAGGCGAATAAAGTTTCTGTGTGATATCTTACTGTTCCAAATATAGTTTATTTCTCTTCTTAGACCACATAGAACTACATTCATTGTACTAGGGTGGTCCATTAGTGACAGAAATATTACTGTGTGGTAATAGTTTTCTGTGCAATAAGAAATCGTTTTATTTTATTTCATAAAAAATCTAAGCACAGAACATTTATTTCATAAGTAAAATTTAATTAAATTTAAATACTAAATATTAAACAATTTTTTATGTTTTAATGAAATGTCTTTTAAAGTCTTTCCACGTATTTTTATAATTTTCTCAATATGTAGTCTATAATAATAAACAAAAAAAAGAGGGTAAAAATAATAGGTAGAACGGAAACTATAAAATCGATTATAATAGTAATTCAATCAAATAATTCTAAAATGAGTTATCTTTAATATACTTATAAAATAGGAAAAATATTTGATTTTAATAGATATTTTGCTATCTATTTTCTAAACAATATTTTACTCGATATTAAATATATTTAATTTGCGTGCACGAAAATAATAAAACTGTTTACTGTCTGTTATCAGACAACAGTGGATTACCTTTATTCATGACTTTTTCATTATTCGAGCAGTTTGAAAGCCAAATGAAACATTATATGAATGCCAGAAAGTGTAAAATATAAGTTAAAAGGTAGCCAATGTTTTTTTAACAATGAGGAATGTTAAACTAAGGATTATTATACTTGTATTTAAAACACAATAATAGATGTTGCTTTATTTTGACTAGTTTTTTATGGTGTAACGGCATTGAATCGGCTTCTTTCCAAAGTGGGTCACGCGACACTAACAAATACTCATAGTATCAATACTGTGCGCTTTAATATTTTTAGGTACAATATTGTTTGTAAGTTTAAAAATACTACTAGGGTTCAATAACGATGCTTAACTAAAGTGAATATTTTTACTTAAAGTGAATAATCAATTAAAAATGTTTTTTTCACTTTTAATGAACTTATGTTTGTTTATGAAAACAAATAAATTTAAATTCATGAAATAATATTTATTGTGTATCAATTCAATAGTCAAGTCTAAAATATTTACAATTCAAACCTATAAATTAATTTTATATCACTTTTAGTGTCAATTTGGGCTAAAAAATATTAAAATTTATATATATATATTATTTCTGTTAGTGTTTATACTTATATTTTCATTAAAATAGCACTTAATGCAGATTTAAAGGGAAGTCTTGTATTTTAAGAATGTTTATTTTGATCACTCTCGAATGCACAAATTGTATTTTAATATCTGATGATATGAAATATTGTAGAATTGAATCCTATTTACTTCATCTTTCTTTGTAGGTAACAAAAATATTTTTAGATGGATAAGAAGAGCAATCTCATTATTAATATATGTATAATCATAATATGTATTATATTATATTAATTATTATTAAAATATAACGAAAAAAGTTGCGACCAAATTAGTCTTAAAACATTATTATTATAAATAAACTTTTTTATCTATTACATTAAACGTAATAAAATATTTCTGAATAAGAAACTAAGAAAATTATTTTACTCGAGTGATAATTAGGGATTATTACTATGTCACATAAGATTATAAAAATACTAAATAAAACTATTTGTATACATTTTTAAATAAAAATTGTAGGATTTAACTAATGACATTAAATATTTTGAAATTAATGATGGTCATTGTTGAGCTATGCAATCCAATTACAATAATTAGTGACCAGAATATAATAATGGATCCCCATAGACCTTATGTTACTGGTAAAATATGTTTGAAGCAATACGAAAATCAAATCATGAATCACAATGCATGGATTTTTTTTTTCATGTTTCAACCTTAATAAATTTGCTAATATATTATGTAAATTTTTATTTTTTTTTCAATTGTAATTTTCTAAATAATGTTAATTATATACTCTTATATTTTTTATGCAAAAGTTTATACTACATACTTGTTGATAATCCAAATACTGTGCACCCAAGAGCTCTTAAATTATAATAAAAAAAGCTACTTCCTAAAGTTGCATGAAGATATGTATAAATGAATATTACTTATTGAAATTAAATTTAAAAAATAAAAATAAAATTGTTATATTGTTCAACTTGAAATAAAAATTAATTATTGTATAATATCGGTATATTGATAGCATAACATTTCTATTAACATATGTTCTTAACTAACTATACTCTGAATTATCATAAGAATTATAGTTAGTTAAATATATTAATTATAAGAATCAACAAACGAACTTTTTATAACTAGTTATTTTATATTCCTATTTTCTTAAGGAAAAAATAATAAAATAAAGCAAATGTTTTTAGATTTCATGTCAAAATTAAAATCAATACAATGAGTTTTTTTAGGACAAACATTTTTCTCAAAGTAATATTATGAAATCAGTAAACAGTCGATTTAACTTACCGGAAAATTGTTTTTGAATTGAATATCCTTTGTAATTAAAATTAAAAAGAATATTTACTTTTTAATTAAACTAGTCAGCAGCATTTTAATTTTAAACAATCATAAGTACGTATAAAAATTATAGTAGCATTAACTTTTTATGAAATGATAAATTGAACGATACTAACTAAAATTATATTTTTATTTAAATAAATTAATATGAAAAGTTATGTTGCAATATAAATATCGTAAGTTTATTTCAATGATTGTTTAAACTATTAGGTTTTCTACTTTATTCAATCATTATAATCATCAAATTAAGATGATGCCAACCATTTTACGAATTTTCAAGTTCTTTAAAGAACCGAGACTGTTTTTATTCTAACTAAATAAATTCTAATTAAATATTATTGTCTTATTTAAAATAAAAAAAAATGAGTAATTTACACGTTTAGACGTTAATTAAAAATATTTTATTAAAAATCAGAAGTTCATATTTTATGAAACTTGGGCGTATTTTATTTTAAATATTAATAAACTGATTAATTAATATTATGGTTTCTTTGTTTAAAAGATTAAATTATCAATATTTAACCAAAATAATATTCAATTAATATTGTTGTGTACATTTGCTTTATTAATTTATCAAAAAATATAACTTTGTTGTGAGATTGATAATTGTATCCAAGATTTGAAATACAGCACGTTAATATTCAGATTGGATATTTAGTTGGATAATGCTAATAGAACTACTAATTCACAATTAAATTTCAATAACTTATTTATTTTTATGTTTTGTCAAATGGGATTTTTTCATCAACGTCATGTGTGAAATCTTTTCGTTAATAATTGAATACATTCAGGAAATTAAATTCACTTCATAGCACTGAAACAGTGTTATCTTATTGAAATCCCTCCGATATTAATATTAAATAGTTCAAAATTTTCTATGTTAGCCAATAGCTATGTCATAAATCATGTGCTTTAATTATTTTTAATCGAAACAACCAAAAGCTATTTTATCGTTTCTATTATTAAAATAAAAACAACGCATAATTATTATTATTTTTGTAATAAAATGTTTTGAAATTAAATTGATGATTAAAAAGAGTAATTCACTTCTAGATTTTATTTAAACACTAATTTTAGATATTTAAATCATTAATTTTATTGGATGAATAATTTTTTAGGTTGTAAGTTGGTAAAAGATAGATGTTTACATTCAAAAAGCTCTAATTGATAAAATTTTAAGAAGATAAGATCAAATTTTTTTTGGAAATTTTGGAACGTAAGATACACGGTTTTAATGTTAATGTGGAGACTAAGTTGGTGAAAAATTATAGATTTTTTTTAGCTTCGATGTGAA